CCTCCGGCTACCGCAGTTTGGTTGTATGCGCGTACGAAGTCGATTTTGCTAGATATTTTTACCCGCCAGACTGGCGGTGAGCTTCACTATGTGTGAGATCGGGTAGGGATCAGGCGTGGTCACCGTATTCAAGGATCGATATTCGCCGCAAGGACGCCAGTCCCTCATGACCTTCTTCGTGACCATGTGAAGAGGAGACGCCCATGAGCTGTTGGACGGTCTGACGATACCGAGCTGAAGCGTGCGGTCGCATTCAGTTTGTGCTGCACTTAGTTTGTCTGGAGCAAGCCTTCTTGGCCCTGCGCTAACTGGCTGACCACGTATGACTATTTGATGAGCGACCTCTGTCGTGACTGGCGGGAGCTCTGCCGCTGGTCGTACCAGTGGCAGGTACTCAGACAGTAGGTTCGCATAATCTGACGGTACATCGGCGATTTGAAAAACGGGACAGATTATCGGGGCGTCCGTAAGAACGCCTTCAACCCCTAGTTTAGTACGGTCGTCTAAAAGTCTGTAGCGACCAGCATCAACAAGCAACCCAAAATGCCGGAGGAAGTCGATACCGATAATTGCGAAGGGTACAGACACAACCACGAAGACCCACTGAAAATCTCGGCGAAGATTGAGGTCCAGTTTCATCATGCGCTGACCGAATGAAGCTATCGGGGAACCATTGGCCGCACGCAGGTTGTAGGTATGCCCTGAGTGCTTGTCGTTAGCGATCGCTGAGATGACGCTGACTTCCGCCCTCAAGTCAATGAAAAAGTGATGGAAAAACGTCGATCCTTAACGTAAAACAGGCGATTCGCTTGGTTATTGACTGATACGTTGGTCTTGCTAGTGCGCGGGCTATTCGCTCTCCCTGAAGCAGCAGGGTCCTGCCTAATGCAGGGAGCCTGACAACGTCTAGCTCTTCCACGGTATTGGCGGTGATACCAACATACTCCTTCAACGGGTTTGGTATTAGCTAACTGAGAACGTGCAAGGAAAATGTTGCGCTTTCGTGCCGAACGAGACATACTCGGTGCAGGCACAGACGAGCCGCAATGAACGGTAGCCAAAACGTGGTCAGCATTTGACCGTGGTACATGCAGCATCGGAACCTTCATTGCTGCTATACTGCTGCAAAGTAGCGCGATTTCTTCGTCTTTAGGGTCAGATCCGTCTGATGACTTGGATCAAATACAGGATTCGGTTTTCATCGGTGAGAATACGTCACCGAAGCTACTGGTCGTCTGCTGCGAAAAACTTTCGAACGCAGCGTCTGCCTTGGTAGCTAATTCTTTCAGGGGTGTATCTATAAACATGGACAGCAATACCGGCAATGGCTCTGGGAGACTGCAAACCACAGCTCCTTTATCCCTTATTCGCGCAAGAATAAGTGACCAGCGAGGCGCTGAAGTTTGCGGAGCAACGCCGACGGCTTGCGATCTCCAAGCTTGAGACCATTGAGCTGTTCAAATCGAGCTCGTGCGCTGGGTTGTAACTCTTATAAAATCGCTGGCTTCGTTGTTTCATACTTTGCCTCATTTGATGGGCATAGTAGAATGTCTTCAACCAGCATCACAACCGACAAAGGAAGGCATGAGACGAGCTGATTGTACCTCGGACGGTCCGCCGTAATTCCTTATTTTCCAGTTCCATTTCGAATATCTGGGCTGTGTTCCATGAAACTTGGAACAGCCAAAGTAAGCGTGGTTGCGCTGCGAAACGAATTACATGCCACTCTCGAATGTGAGTCGATAAGATAAAGGATGAACAAAAACACGATAAAAGTACCAAACTTACGCAAGAAACAAATGCATACAGGTATATGATCTTGAGAAAGGAACGAACTCACCAAAAAATACAAACGAGGAAAAAAGTTGAATTCGCGCGTGCGAATCGGGGTCACCAATTTGTAGGACTACTTAATACTAGTCCGAGACGGTGCGCGAAATTAAGCGCGGATATCAGAGGGCAATTTGAGTCGGACACAGCGGAATGTATTCGATGGGCTACAGTAAGAAATGGACTGATGAAGCGAGACGAGAGCGAACACGTGAGCGCGGGAAGTTACAAGGCAGTCGAGTATCGAGCCGGTTGTAAGGACGATTAAAACAAGAATGAATAATGTACAATTGGTCAAGAAGTAAATTGCACATGAAAGATAGCGGTTATCTATTTCGGCGCTACAATATCCTGTTCATCGGTGTACAGACTCTGGCGTATGATGTGTGTTTCCAAACACCAACTTACCGGTCACACGAAGGCGGGATGAAAGTTGGTCAAACAACTGTTCAATGAGCATATAGACCGTGAAAGCGTGTATTATCGATACTTTTGAATTTGATTTTCGGAGCTTGCAGCATTATGTTTCAGAAAACGTTTCATAGGTCTAACGATTGGTGCTGAACTGTATTCGGGAGAACCCACATGCTTATGCTGTTGTACCCTGATTTGTCATATATTTTCGAGCCAATGTGCTTTGTACAATACGTGCTTCTCAGTATCCGCTAGGATTAGATATTGCCTAGAAATGCAGCTTCTCATTTTCGTGCTAATGGAATATTGCCTTGTTGGGCGGAGCCTGGTATACTAGTCGGTAAGCAATGACACGTAAGACGTGTCAAATACGACAGTATAGAAATCGGAAGCGACTGAACCCAATGTATATTGTAAGGCTACAAGGATAGGAAGCGAATCATACAGAGCGAGAAACGTGCAGCGAGGAACTCACCAAAACGGTTTGTGACAACGGATGTGCAGTCAGTTAAACAAATGGACGTTTCGAAGGTTAAAACAACCACAAAATCCAACGTTACAAGATACTGAAAGAGCATGTTTTCTGTTGCACTACAGCCTCATCAGTGAACATGTTGGAATGAACGCCCTAACCGCGCTTGTTTCCTGCAACGACGATCAACACTGCGACGGGAGCATAAACTATGCAGCAGTAAGTAGTCTATAGGCGGCATAGCTTTTCAGGACTCCTTTCTCAAAACGTCACCTTCCATAGTTACAAGGCCGAATTGTAAGCAAAGCCAATTAAGCGAAGGTAGATTGTTGGAAATTAACTCAAGTCTACAAGAGGTTTGCCAATAACTCATTTGACATTAGCTGGAATGACACTAAGCACCTATTGCACAAGCCTTTCTCAGGCTAGTTAAGCCTGTGGAAGCACCACCACAATTCTACCGCAGTAGCCAGAGAATAAGGCACTGCTGTTGCAATTTTGCACACCTGTCTCCGTTCCAAATAGCTCTACACAGCGGACGTATCGATCGGTGAACTTGCCTTACGGCGTGCCGTAGGTTGACTCCAACTCAACCATCCGCGCATGATCCAGCGTTTTCACGATGGACGAAACTGGCAAGTACACGCATACTCATATGCATGAATACGGGCGTTCTATACCATTTTCCATTGAAGTTGGACATTTGGTCAAAACATTTACGCCTGGGGATCAACGGGGTTGCTCCTCCGGGGCAATCAATTTGAGTCTTCGCTATGCGGAATAGAACCACTCACTGGCAAATAGGACCTCAGACGCTTGGCCAATGAAACAGCCCCTACCATGCCAGTGAGTGGTTCTATTCCGCATAGCGTAGACTCAACTTGATTGCCCCGGAGGAGCAACCCCGTTGACCCCCAGGCGTAAATGTTTTGCCCGAATGTCCAACTTCAATGGACAATGGTATGCACCCAAGCGACCGGCTGAGAGATTTTGTAGTTACCTAGAGATTCTCTCGCTATAGTTTCGGGATTGACCAACATCTACTATTGGACAGTTGACAATTTTTTGCGCTCAACCTCACACCGCAAAACGTGACTCTTTTTCCTGCATAAACAGAGTAGGGGAATCAGAGTTTTGGGACATGCTGTACAAGAGCAGGTAGAATTGGCTCACAGAACACCCTGGATGAGGAACTAGTTATTATACAGTATAGACTGCGCGAGAAGGGCTACTCTGACAGACTTAACGCAAAACATTGTAAAGAAAAACCCAAGCTAGTACCGGTTTTAACCGAGGTGAATAAAGTGCTATTTATAAGCTTGCGATGATGCAGCTGCTTGTCTAGAGATACTTCAGTTGAGTTGATTATTTCTAGATATCTTAGTGCCTGCAATGATTTTTCTTCTAAGGTACTAACTGATCGCTTTCATACGCCTCACAATGAACTTTCCAAAACGTTCTGTTTCTCTTTTACCCGATCAGAATGCAGAGTTTATTCTCCTCATGTCATCATATCGCAATATTGTTTTGCCTTATCTCTCACGATTGCTTATTGGCCTAGTGAAAATCACAAACATACTGCGAGAGCGATGTTGGAGTAAAGGTGCTGCTGTTTCACTGTTCTACGCAAGCATGTATAGTGATATTACTATTCAGGTGTCCTCAGTGATGGTTTATATGCTGAAAATGTACCAATTACGGTACGTAAAGCTTATCTTGACGACGTGACTTTCCTTTCCTTTCAAAAAGGATGCCGCTGGCGAGCGCATAACCAAAAAGAATTCAACGGCAGTCAAGCTGAAGTTTCCGGCAGGCAAAATAAAATGCATCTTTTCTAGTAGCCCACCTTTGGCTCAAGAAATTAGGGGAGGTTTTATAGTACCGGAAAACTTCTTCAAGTATTTTACCACATTGGATTTTACCGTTGTTTTAACCTTCAAAACGTCCACTTGTTTAACTGACGGTAATTCCGTTGGCACAAATGGATTTGGTGAGTGACTTGATGTACCGTTTCTCGCTCTGCTTGATTCGCTCCCTATTTTTGTAGCCTACACAATACACGTTGGGTTCAGTCATCTTCAACTGCTATACTGTCCCGTAATTGACACGTCTCTTACGTGTCATTGAGTACCGACTAGTATCCGAGGCGCCACCCAACAATTGGTGACCCCGGTCCAGAACAAGCCGGCCGCCATTTTGAATTCGCGTTCTGGTGAGCTTGTTCCAGTGAGTTTGCTTCATTACTTGTGGTCATATTATGTTCTTACCTGCCGCATTTACTTATTCACTTCTCACGATAAATAGCTCGGATGATATCATCATCATCATCATCATCATCATCATCATCATCATCATCATCATCATCATCATCATCATCATCATCATCATCATCATCATCATCATCATCATCATCATCATCATCATCATCATCATCATCATCATCATCATCATCATCATCATCATCATCATCATCATCATCATCATCATCATCATCATCATCATCATCATCATCATCATCATCATCATCATCATCATCATCATCATCATCATCATCATCATCATCATCATCATCATCATCATCATCATCATCATCATCATCATCATCATCATCATCATCATCATCATCATCATCATCATCATCATCATCATCATCATCATCATCATCATCATCATCATCATCATCATCATCATCATCATCATCATTATACATGTCAGCTAGAGGTGGTAAAACACCTCCGCTATTGTACCGCAATACATAAAGGAAATACATACATACATGCATACCATACATAAAGGAAAAATAAATACGACAGTTGCACGCCAGCAGAACTACCAGCAAGGGATAGGCATCGTTCCGGTAAGCTACTAGCCGGCTACTAGGCAAAAACAAAAAAGTTAATTGTTTTACCCTACGAAATAAGATCATAGATGGAGGGGGAGGCTAAAAGGGATGGGGAGGGACAAAGAAACTCATAGCAGGAACGCCACTGAGGTCGGCTCCTTGCCATGTGAGCAAGTGTATCCAGTCAAACGTGTTCACCGTCTTTTGGACCCCAACCAGGGAGCCGTGAAGCTCCAACCGAGGTTAGCTCCGAAGTGAGGGATTTGATTGCTCTGGACCAAGTCATCGCTTGGCCACCTCTCCTCTTCTTCCACCCACATCCCCGGTGAGCAAACAACGCACGTCGAGGGAGTCGGTGGGCTGGCATGCGTAACACGTGGCCGAGACATCGGAGCCTGGTGCGGGAAATAACGGTGCTGTGCGGTTCAGATCCTTTTCCTGGGCCGTAAACAAGGCGTCGAACATGCTCGTTACTCACGCGGTGTTCCCACCAGATGTGAACCAAACTGCGAAGGCACCGATGGTCGAACGTAAGTAGCCTCTTCATGTCCGCCGATCTTAGGGGCCAAGTTTTGCAACCGTACAGTAAGGTCGAACGTACCGCTGCATTGTACACTCTACCCTTCAGGGCGAGAGTGATGTCGCGCCGTCGCCATAGGTGGCGAAGGTTAGCAAAAGCAATTCGAGCTTTCGCTATACGGTTCATGATCTCGTCTTCGATCCCAAGGGCGCTGATACAACTTCCCAGGTAATTGAATTTCTGAACGACTTCTAGCTGATCCCCACCAAGTGTCAGCACAGGGGGCGATCCATGCCAATCCTGGAAGGACGGTTTGCACTTCGGTGGTGCAAAGCAAAGCCCGAAGTGACTGACAGCCAGTGCTAATCTGTCCAGCGCGGCTTGGCACGTCTGGGAGCTGTCACAGATGAGGGCAATGTCGTCTGCATACTCCAAGTCAAGAAGTCGTTCTCCTGGGAGTAGCTCCACACCTTCCAAGTCATGTCCTGTAAATGCAATCTCCATGACTTCGTCAACAACGAAGTTGAATAGGAAAGGTGACAACGGGCATCCTTGTCTCACACCGGTGGAGATATTGAAGGGTGTCGACAGCTTGCCCTAAGCCCTCACACTGCCCGTGCTACGCGTATATAATGTTTGGATAATATTTACATATTTCTCGGGCACACCTTTCCTGAGTAGACAATTCCAAAGGGCACATCGATCAACTGAATCGAAGGCACTTTTGATGTCGAGGAACACGACTACGGTGGCCCGCCAATGTGTGTGACGGTGCTCCAACAACTGACGTAAGGTGAAGACATGGTCGATGCAGCCACGACCACGACGAAACCAGGCTTGCTCCTCACGAATCTGGCTTTCACGAGCGCCAGTCAGTCTGTGAAGAATTATGGACGCGAGTAATTTGGAGGCGATGGAGATCAGACTGATTGCTCTATGGTTGCCGCATTCCGAGCGCGAGCCGCCTTTGAAGATGGGAACAATAACGGAGCGGCTCCAGTCGGTTGGGACAATCTCCTGCTCCCACAGTTTCACTAGTAATTCATGCAAAGCATCAACAAGAGCAGAGCCTTTGAATTTGAAAAGAGCTGGAGGAAGATCATCTGGTCCCGCGGCTTTGTTCAACTTCAACAGTCCGATCTCACGTTCGACTTCTGAGCGAGAGGGTGGATCCAAAGGGACAGTCCATGGAGCAGGGCGATCAGCGAACGACGAATCGAACAATTCTTGCCGATTAAATTGCCTTTCAAAATTGTCAGCCCAAGGCTCCAGATGTTTTGACAAATTGTGGATAGGCTGTCCACTCTCGTCACGTATAGTTTCACTAACACCAGGTCTCCTGCTGCCCGTTTCCCGTATTAGACGGAATAACTTACGAGGGTTGCCAAGGGTAGTGGCCACTTCCATCTCTGACGCACGATGAGACCACCAAGATTCGCGGTCTCTCTTCAGGTTAGCACGGAGTTTTGCCCGGAGCTCTTTGCGAGTTTCATTGTGCTCGCTTCCAGCCGGGATATGCCGGCAAGCGTCGATAAGTTCCAGAGACTGCGAAGAGACCCAATGTCCATGTTGTCTATTAGACATACCTCATGAGGATTTGCCTGCTGCTAGTAAGGTCTGGCGAACGTGTGACCAGGGACCATCACTTGTCTCCTGTGAGCGCATGCTCAACTCGCATGTCAGCGTACTTCGATACGCATTCAGAACAGCTGGCTTTGTTAGTTGGCTGGTGTCAATACGCTCACAGCGTCGTCGTGGGCGTCCGCCAAAACGCATCCGCATGTCAGCACATACAAGTGCATGATCGGTGTCCACACATGTGCTCCAAATCGAGCGACAATTCTGAATGCAGCCTCACCAGCGGTAACTTATCGCAATGTGATCGATTTGCGTCCAAGGCTGGTTCGAGGCTGGTGGGTGCCAAGTCACCCTTCGACGGGTGCTGTGTCGGAAATTAGTGCTCGCAAGAAATAAGCGAGCATCTTCACACAAATGAAGTAACCGCTCACCGTTATCATTACGGGAGCCTACACCGTGTTGACTGTCCAGATACAGTTCATCAGTGGACAACTTTCCAACTTGTGCGTCCATATCCCCCGCCAGCACAACAATGTCCGTGCTTCTTCTGTGCCGAAGGAGCTGGGTCAGTTAGCGGTAGAAGTCGTTCTTTACCGAATCATCGCTACAGTTTGTGGGCGCATAGACAGCGAGGATGAATAGACACCTATTAGTCCCGCGCGTCTTCGAAGCTTTAAACGAGCCAGGCAATCGGACCGCACACTTCCGACTACTGATTGGAATCCAATCAACCAGAACAGCTTCAGCCCGGGGACTCAGGGCAATGCCAACACCAGTTTGACCGGTGCTCGAAGCTGCATCGTCACCGGATAGGCGCAAGGAGAAAATACTGTTTGCGTCACCTGAAGGGGATCCCAGAGTGAGCACAGAGCTCGAGTTTTGCAGGCGGGTCTCGGATAAGCAGCAGATATCGATCGAGAGGGTCTCCAATGTTCGGGCAAGTGCTGCCTGTTGACCGATTTGTAGCAGTGTGCGTACATTGAGGCATGCCACTTTGAAGGAGGATCGAGGGCTCAAAATGGAAGCCGATGAACTGGATTGGACCGCTTGGTTGGACATGGGATTGTAGACAGGAGAGGAGTGACGCTCCGCGTTCACGTGTGAGTTGAAATTAGAAGGTAAATGTCTAGCAAATCATGTTGGGGGAGGGCCAAGAATCGGGGGGTTGAAAACTGGGAGGATATAGGTGAAGTTGGAATGGGACGGTAAGAGTGAAAAAGCGTAAGAGGGGGAATAAGAAGACGGGAAGGCTTGAGCAGTAGCATCCAAACCCCTATCCACCCTGCTCGATGCAGCAGATAGGGCACCGTTGATTATCCTCTGCGGTGGCCAGAGCATCAAAAAATTGTTTGAAGTAAAAACCATCTATGTACGTGGTTAGTGCCGTGGAGCTAGGCGCTCTAACTTTTTGGGAGAATGACCCGTTGGTATGGTTTGTGCCATTAGAATCCACTTTTTACAAGTGTGGTATTTCTTCTGATAATGCTATCATCAACTTATGACTCAGCTTCCGCCATCCTCCCAGACGAGAGACATCATATTTTAACCCCACCTTGTAATGAAATATGACAATTTAAAGCAGACGATCATCCAGCAAATCTGGTCCTCTGACACAGTCCGACTGCAGCAACTGTTCAGGGATTTGCAGCTAGAAGACAGGATGTCTTCAGCCTTATTGCGACAGATTCAACAGCACTTAAGCACATCCAGCATGGACGCCGGGGTTCTCTGCGAAATGTGGATGCAACGTCTCCCGGAAAATACACAAGCCATCCTCGCCGTGGTAAGCGCGTTGCCGCTCGCAGCAGTTGCAGAACTAGCAGGCCGTGCCATCGAACGACATCAACCAAGAAAAGAATCCAGAACGTTCACTCGACTTAGCCCCTTCGCAGCCGCAGCGACATTCTTGACTAGTGTGCCGTCAGCAATCGACGCTTTATCATTGCAAATAGCGTTACTACAACGCCAAGGTGAGAAACAGTCCCTAGACCATAAGCAGCGCAGCCGGTCTAACTCATCACCCCCTCGCACATAGCGCAACAATTCAGGCTTTTGCTTTTACCAGTCGTGTTTTGGTAACAAAGCCCGTAAGTACAAGCAACCACACAGATTCTCTGCCACCAAGCAGGCAAACTTTATGGCAGGCCCGTAATGGTAACTAACGGTGTCGACGAAGCCCAAACTCGTCTCATCTGCATAGGGATTATGATTCCGAGACCCATTTCTTAGTGGATACCGGGGAGGAAGTCGGCGTCATTTCCCCTATGCCAGATGAGCCTATTGCTTCTTTGTCGACAAGCTTAAGTGCCGCCGATGGCATGCCGATGGCCACCTACGGTCATCGGTCGCTTACCCTAGACCTAGATCTCCGGCGCACGTACCGTTGGGTATTTGACCTTGCTACAGTCCCCTTTGTCATCATCGGCATCGACTTTCTGAGGCATTTCTACCTCATGGTCGACGCGCACCGCCAAATGATAGTTGACACTGTAACGGAACTTAATGTACGTGACATCAGTGCAGCTATCGCAGTCATCACTTCGGTCTACGCCTTTCCCGAGACCGTGCTAGACCACGCCAACCACTTTTCCCAGTATTCCAACCTCGTTCAGCCAATGAACGCAGCTTTGTCCGTAGCATCCCAAGTCACGCACCACATACGGACGAATGGCCTACCAGTCACATGCCGTCCACGCCGACTATCATCAGAGGAATTAAATATAGCTAGGACGGAGCTTGAGCACACGCCCCAACACGGAAAAATCCGCCC